GGGGGGGAATATCAGGTGAACGTCCTGGTATGGGTTTGTCCGGAGACTGGGCTGAGATTCATAGGTTTTTAAAACTATCCATACAGCTAACTACATGTTGTACCCTCAAAATATCACAATGCAGCTGTGATGAACATTGGCTTATTCATTTCAGATTCACTGGATTTGAGGTTAGGATACAAGGGCATTAACTTCAGGTGAACAAGCCACTGAGCCTAATGGGATTAGCAAATAGCAAAGAACAATGTTTAGAATCAAAATGTGTTGCATTAGTGATCAATTGTATACAGAAGGAAACTCACCCTTGGGAGTGAGTGCACCCTTTTGTACCTTAAACTAGTTGGATAGTGTGACAGGCTGTTGAATGTCAGAAATAATCTCATTCCTAAAATCAATAAAATCATCCCAAAAACAGAAGTGATTGGATTGCTGGAATACTTACGACTTGGCTCTTTATGCAGAGTCTGATGTGTCTAAATCCACGGAGTTCAGTGCATTTAGGAGCAGCTAGCTTGGCCTAGAATTAGGTTGCAAACATATATTGATAAAGTGCTATTGATTTTGTGATAGAAATGGATTCTTGTAAGAAGGTCAAAGTTATAAAAGAGTCTCCAGTCTGGGAGCCACCAAAGCAAAAAAGTCCAGATATCAGTAATACTTGTTCTCATCATCAGTTAACGCTTGAGTTAGTGCGTAGGGAAGATTGTCCAAGTGGGGTTTGTCCATAAGGGTTTAGGATTTACAGGTTAAACTTACTGTCTCATGGAACACCACATCTGTCTGCTGAATGTGGCCAGCTGAGAAAGAAATAGATACAGCTTACCACATAAACCATCCTGATCTGAGGTATACAACTCTTCAAATGTGTAATTTGGGTTAAAAATACACATATTAGTTAAAATTAAAAACCAAAACCATACAATGTAAACAGTTATGTGTACTGGGAGTCAAACATTCTGAAAAGCGCAATTAAAATGATTACTCATCCCAAGGAACGGTCCCAACAGCCCTGCCCCCAGTGCTGGATAAAATAGCTTAAACTTCACTAATTTTCTGAGGATTGGGAAGGAGGGAGGGACATCTGAATGTCTGGGGGATGCTGTCCCAGAGGAGGGGGGTAGTGACTGAAAAAGCATGTTTCTATGACCCTATAGGTAACAGTCTCTGATTAAGGGGACATGTGAAGAACCCACCATACTGGATCTAGCTGGTGGGCAGATATTACTGGGAGAGTTCTCCCTTTCTAACCTGGTGCTTATCCAGTGTATGTGATCTCAACCACTGTCTTCGGCCAGTCAACTGGCTGTAATGGGAGCAAAGCCTGCTTGTTGGAGGGTTGGCCTTGTTTTCATCAATGGCTTGTTAGTGCATTGTTGACAACCTTCCCTCCTAATAAATTGTGTTTCCAGGCCTCTTTCAGCGATGGAAGGCTCCCTCAGAAGAACAGCCCTGCAGACAAATGGCCACCTCTAGTTTTGCATGGCGGCACAACAAAACTCTCTATGTCTCTTTCGTGTTGTCCATCTTCGCTGCTGCAAATGCATTCTATGTAAGTAGAAAGGCCTTGGATGTTCAAGAAAAGGAACCTAGTCTCCTCTAACGAGGTGGCTACCCTAACCTGTATTCTTGTTCCCTATGTTTTTTTTTCCCCTCTCCCCCTGTTTCTCTGCAGAACCTTAAGAGGAAGCTTAATATGTAAGAAGTCAGTGGTGGGCTTGGCTCAGATTTACCCTTTGTCCTCTCCTTACCCTTCAGTTATTTTCCTAGAAGGGCACTTGAAAGACATGCAGAAACTAAATACTGCCTTCTCACAATTTGGCATATAAACTCAGCTTGCAAATCTAGATGTACTGCTCAAGAGAGCAAGAGAGCTCAAGAGAGACATAGAAGTTTTGTGTGGACTCCCATATTCCTGCTATAAATTGAGATTGCAGAAACCAGACCCTGATATATCAGGGACACTAGAACAATCAGTTTTCACTCTTTTTAGGCCCTAATGTTGTGCACGTCAGAATGTCAGTTGGATATGGCCTTGCCATTGGCAATGAGAAACCTAGCACGCTACACAAGGAATGTTCATTGGGGTAGCCACTTGGAAGATGTCACTGAGTTTGGGAGGATGATGGCATGCTTTTGGGGAAGCAGGCCTTTTCCTGTCCACCAAGAAAGTTGCATTCTCATCATCCTACCCAATCTCAGGTTGAAACAGACTTTTAAAGGGCTGGTGTAAGCTTATGGCAAGCTTCTTTATCCCAACTGTTTATTTCAGTTGTCAGATTATTCAACCTTTGGCACCCAAGATTTTTTCTTAACTTGGAGATGTATGGATTGGCAAACACAAAATGAATCTTGCTTGCTTTTTAAAGCTATTCATCACACTGTCTGCTTATCAGACAGAAAAGAAACAGGGCAATGAACAATTTTTGAAGAAGTGTACATGTGCTGCACCCTCACTGGAAAGGTTCCTACTTTCAGAGCATAAATTTATCAGCTGTTTGAAGCAGCTTAAGAACAACGAGGCTTGCATATTTCTATTTATGGAGTTAGTTAGAAATTACTGTGCCTTCTTCATCCAATGATGACCGTTTATTTGTTAGATACTGTTTTATTCATATTTAAGGAAAATCCCACTATTGGGGTATGGTGTTTTATTTCTTCAGAGTCTATAAGGAATGTGTAAGAGAGACAGGGAACTGGGCAGGTTCTTGACTGTCCATACTGCTAAGAAACAGAGTTACCTCAACTCAGTAGCAATATTGAGGACAGACGTTGGGATGACTGGAAAAAATTCTCCTGCTGTATCCCAAATGGTCCAGTGTCTTAAGACCACAGCCATGGATTTGTCCACTTCTGTAGACTTTTTTTGTTTCTGGTTTTATGATCCTTTATCCTACAAATTAAGGGAAGGTTATTTATTAATGAGGATTAAGTGGCTAGCAGGCCCTGGCTGCCTGCTACAATAAAAGAGGGAAATAATTATTTACTTGGGGTTAGAGCAGAATGTTTCTTTTCTTGTAACTCACAAGAATAAATAGGAAGAGCTAATTTGTCTAAGCAGCCTCTTTTCCAGGTGTTAGTTAAAACATGCACCCACCCAGAATCCCTTCCCTTCTGCCTCCACCATCCATACCTTTCCTTATCAACCAGTAGGGTGGGTTCTCTTGTTCCCTTGAAATGCTGCTGTTTTCCAGAACAGGTAGAATAGAGAGTAAGCTCAGCTATAGCAGAATGCAAACTTGAAAAAAGTGTGGCTCCCCCTGCCCCCTGTGGTATTACGTAAAATGTTACCTTTTTGGTTGCACAGGGATACGAGCTTTTGAGGAGGGCTCGAGAGCGAGATGTAGACCGTGCAGAGAGGCACGCACGCATGGAGCGTCAGATGAAGGCTCGTTCCTTTTAAGGTATGAGTAAAGTTCTAGTAGATTGGTTTTTATAGCTGGCATTTGTAGGCTTTCTGTTTCAAGGAGGAACTCTAAGTGGCCTTTTTTAGACTCAGTATGAAAATTCCAAGGAATGTCGATCTCCAACTATAACAGGGTGAGTACCAACTTCAAGAGGGATTCTGGAGGAACCACACCCAAGGATTTAGGGATAAAGCACTTAGCGCCGTGGAGCCATGCCATATGTACCCTTTAATGATCTCAGTGTGATCAAAGATTGTAGGGATGTAGTTCAACAAGGTGCCTCAGTCAAGCCTTTCAATAGCAAAGCGTTATTTTCTTTCTCAGAGTCATTACTCCTGTGCAAATTCACACAGAATTATTTAACTTCTGCTTAATTTGTTACAGATTAATTTACAGCCATATTTTTAGTATGTAGTATGTTTATCATCTTTTTTTGAATCCTGCTCTCAAGACAGTAATATGGGTCCCAGTTTCTGCGTTATGTAAGGACCAACTTTCTCCAACCTACCACTGCCTGGAAGTGCTGAACAACCCCTCTCAGCCCCAACCAAATCTATACCCTAATAAGGAAGGCACACTATTGGATTAAACACTACTGGATTCAAAAGAATGTTGATAAACTAAATAAAACAGTGTTGTTAATTTGCACTTGAAAGAATGCCTAAAAACTATGCCACTGTGGTATTGAAGATAAACATGCAGTAATTGTTAATTATTTGTGAAATTCTTTTAGTCTTCTGGAGCTGTTTTACCCAATTCAGCTTGCATTAATCTCAGAAATTGTTTGTTTTGGAGTACAGGGAGATTCACTTGTAAGATTTCAGATTGCAGTCCTAAAGAGCTACATGGAAATAGTTTCCATTAAGATGAACAAGAACTTGGAATACATGTGGTTAGGATTGAGCTGTCAGTGTTTAGTTATATTACATCAGGGCAACAAACTGCCTTCTAGCTAAATTAAAAAAAAAATCTCTTGGAGCTTCCAAAATTAGCTGCTATAAAGACTTTGGCTCTTGTTCCTTTTTGGCCTGCTAGTGAGTGTTGGCAGCTTATTTCAGCTGTCCTGCCCGTTTTTCCCGCCTGCTTTGTGCAATATTCATATACCTGAGTTGTTGATAAAAGTTTGCAGAACCTGCCTGGACAAATATATCTGCTGTTGGGCAAAAACTTTTTAAACGTGAAATGTTATCACTCCAGATGGGTAAAAAATCAACACGAGCCAAGAATTTTATAGCATTCATAGATTGAATGCACATAGGTAAAAATGGCATTTGATTGGTCAATAAGAAATCAGTAGAAATCACGTTCTCTTACTAGTTGCAGCTTTGTAGACTTTCTAATCTTCTTTCAGGAGTTTAACAGCACCAGAAATAATATCAACTAAAGCTACATCTGATCATTCATCTCCTCTGGCTCTTCACAGTGGTAAATAAAGCAATTAATATGGGGAATGTAACTCCAGAATAGAGAAGCAGCCATGAAGATCAGTTGAGTACTGCAATCAAAGATTTGGGGGCAGTTTCCTTACTTTAAACACAAAGCTTTTCCCAATGGCATGATTACATATAGATGCAGAGTGTCAAGTAATAAAAACATGTGAAAAGAAGAAAAGAATTGTGTGGTATGTTACAGTGCTAGAAGACTTTGGCAGTGAGCAGTGATTACTTTTGTCTATTATATTTTAGCCTCTATGTTTTCTCACCTACAGAGACAGATTATATATAAAAATAAATAGAAAGCTGAACCTATTTACTTTTATAGGCATAGGGAAAAGAATGGCCATTTGGCTTATTTATTCCCAGTGTCAAAAACAATAATTTTAGTACCTTTCTTTGACTCTGTTGCTTCATTCATATGAAATGGAATCATTACTGAGTTTTTTTCTCCCCAAGCCCCAAAGAAGTCATTTTCCTTGTATAAATGCTTGATACCTTGCTGACAAAATATTCTACACCCACCAGCTTCTGTTTTTTTGGGGGGTGGGCAGGTGGGGGACAAGGCATAAAATAAACCATTGCAAAGGAATCTGGTTACAGCATGTCTGCAGTTTGAAATCTTCAATCGTCCTGCCTTTGGGTGATCAGGGTTAAAAGACACCAGAGGAGAATAAGCAACCTGAATCATAGTAATCTGAGACAGCTGGGCATCCTGTGAAATAATCCTTGTTTTGGCAAGTCAGAGGGCCAAACAGGACAATGCAGTAAGTCTTCAATACATATAATGAGCAGCTTGTTTATTTTTCTTGGTTAAAATGTATCTGCTAGGAGAGATCAGCGAGAAGCAGTCTATCCAGTCATACAAAATCTGCCCTAAGCTGCCTGGCCGCAGAGCTTTTCTGAAAAAGGCTTACCTGAGGGACTAAGCTATGGTTTGTTTAGCCATTGTTTACTGAATACAACATAACTAGGAGGGTTCATACTACATGCTAAACCATAACCATCCATACAACATACTAAGCCAAATTCAAATCAGTGGTGACTCAGTTTTTTCCACATTCCAATCAATATAATCCACATATATTAATTAACAAGAAAAAAGCCAGGACTTATTGAACATAATTCTCTTTTAACATAGTGGTGCATTCACACATTCCATTAAACCATCAAGTGATTTGACCGGGTTTGCTGAAAGGTCATATTCAGCTGAATCACTAATTTTCCCTTCTAAAGGCTCCAATTGCAAATTCTTAGAAGTCTTCATTCCCTGTTCCTCTCCAAAAGTGGAATCCAGGATGATCATTTTTAAAAAAGTAGGTAAGGATCTGAACAATTGCTGACTTCAGATTTCTTCAGCCTGGGAAACAGGAACCCAGGATCAGGACCAGGCTTCCTGCCTTGAACGGGGTGCTTTCACCTTCTCATCATAGTAATCAAAATCCCATTCTGGGACACCCAGTCTCAGCAGGAAGTACTGAAAACCATCCTCCAAGTTCTGCTGGAAGCAGTCCTTTGGGGCAATGACATTCCCCAAGCTCTTGGACATCTGTCCTTGCACCGTTCTGCAGGGGGCGGGGGGGCTCCAGGCCTGCAGCCATCAGCAAGGCAGGGCAGTAGATGGCATGGAGCTTGATAATGTCTTTGTCCACAATGTGGCAAACGTTGGGCCACCAGGCCTGGTGCTCCTCAGAGCAACCTACAGCCGTCAGGTAGTTCATCAAAACGGAAGCTTACAATGAATGAAAAGTTAGGGAATTAGATGACACTAATGCATGGTTTGTTGAAAAAGTCGTAGTAGCCTAGTTTACATGTAATATTTTTATTTTATGTATTGATCATATTTTCATAGCTGCCCATCTCACAGGATAATATAATCAGCTGGGGTGGAAGACCTCATCAGAACAGTGAGATTACAAAAAGAGGTGTTTGCCAATTTTTTGGTTGAAATGGGACACGTTACAAAAGCAACTATATTCTATATCCAATTTAAAAAGTCCACCCCCCCCAGCAAAAAGTCCGTTATAAAACCTTAGGGAGACCCTCCTCTTACGTTTCTGTTGGCAGCGCTGTAGCTTGGCCTCAGCCACGCCCCTTCGCCACGCCCCTCAGGTGTAGAGCGTGAATGCCTAGAGCGGCGGCGGCGGCCGCCGCGACGATCACGACATTGCGCGTGGCCGGGAAGCACAGGCGTGCGCAGGCCGAACGGCGATGCGCGTGCGCAGAAGGTGGTAGTCCTTCTGAACGGACGGCGAGGGGCGATCGGGGCCGCTCGAGCCGGCTCGAAGCTCGTAAGGGCCGCTGCTGCCGTCATGTTCCGCTACCGCCTAGCAACGACGGTGGTGCAGGTGGTCGGCCGAAGGTCCCGTTTTCTGGCGGGGCCAGGTGAGCAGAGCTTCGCTGGGGGGGGGCCGAGTCTGACAAGGAGGAGGGGTTTGCGCGGAAGCCGTTGCCCCCTCAGTCTTGCCTCCCTCCGAGGGGCTCGTCGGCCCCTTCCTTGGCGGAGCCGGCTTGAGGGGGCGGGACGGGTCTTCTTGGCCGGGTGCTCGATTCCTTTCCTTAATTTCCCTCCTTTCCTCTTCCTG